TCCCAAAAAAAGCACTTTTGTGGGGCTGCAATCTCACACGTGCTTTTGAAAGCTGTGCCTGGAAATAAAGCAAATCACAGCAACCCAAGCACCATGCTCTTGCCGTAAAAAATGGGAAGATGGCATCCAGGAAGCTGGCGTCCCAGATTTTGGCTTCAAAATGTTGGAGGGCATGCAGGAGTTAGTGGCTGGCCCATGGTCACCCAGTGAGCTTTGTGGACGAATAGGATTTTAAGTGCACATCTGCCCACTCCTAGTCTAACCATCTAACCATTACATCACACTAGATCTCATACAGGTAAATTGCTGTTTAGGTGAAAGCACTATACGCTGGCATTTTTATACTTATTTTATTGTGGAGTCTCAAAGGACAGCCCCAAGTGTGTTCTGCAATGGTAGCCAAGATTTCTGCTTGGAATTCCCCACATTGTACCGGCAGCCAGCAGAGAGCATCACAGCCTCATTTACTACCTAGCAAATGGGTTGTTTGGGAGGATACCTCTCAGGGAGTCAAATCTTTTGTTGGAAGCCACCCAGGGTGGCTGGGGAGACCCAGCCAGATGGGCGGGGTATAAATAATAAATTATTATTATTACAGTGGTGCCTCGCAAGACGAAATTAATCCGTTCCGCGAGAGTCTTCGTCTAGCGGTTTTTTCGTCTTGCGAAGCAAGCCCATTGACGGATTAGCGCTATTAGCGCTATTAGCGGTTTAGCGGCTATTAAAGGCTTAAAGGCTTAGGGGATTAGCTGCTAAAAGGCTATTAAAGGCTATTAAAGGCTTAGCAGATTAGATAAAGGGGGAAGCGAAAAAAATCTCAGGACTCGCAAGGTATTTTCGTCTTGCGAAGCAAGCCCATAGGGGAATTCGTCCTGCGAAGCAACTTCAAAACGGAAAACCCTTTCGTCTAGCGGTTTTTCCGTCTTGCGAGGCATTCGTCTTGCGGGGCACCACTGTATTATTATTATTATTATTATTATTATTATTATTATTAAAATGACTGTAATATTGATTACATCTAGCAACACAGTCACAATAAGCCTGCTGTTAAGAGCACAGGTGGTTTGAAAGGAAACATTATTCACCCACTGCCATGACTGTTCTTCTGAAGCAGCAATATTAAGCAGCCTCCTGACTGGAGATTATCAGCCATGTAGATGCCTTGGAATGAATTGACCATCTCTGGTGGTGGAAAAACACTCTTGTTACCAGACCCTCCAGTTCTTCCCGAAAGGCTGCATCCTTAAGAATACCTTAACAGCAAACAGCAATGACATTATTTGCAATTACTTGCTTTGAAGCAAGTAAAATTGTGTTTATCTAGTGGTGACTATTGGTAAGCGAATGGTGCCTATGTACACAGTTTAGATTTAAGTATGCACAGTCTCTCTTCTCTCCATTAGAGAGGGATGGTTTTCTAAACAAAAGAGAACTATTAATGTGCAAAGTTTCATGTTCCCAGCCTGCATGGAAATTATTAGAACTTAGATATAGTACGTAATTTCTCCGGAGCAATGGATATACAATTAGGAAAGGAGGTCTGAGGAAACAAATAGGTTTAGGAGAAACATTCTATTTGGAGAAACAGAGGTGGCCATATTGGGTGTGTGTGTGTGTGTACCGTATTTTTTGCACCATAACACTCACTTTTTTCCTTCTAGAAAGTAAGGGGAAATGTCTGTGCGTGTTATGGAGCGAATGCCTGTGAGTGGCGGGGGGGATCTGATGCAGTCGTGAGCAGAGGATCCATGGTTCCCCTTCCTTCCCTCCTCCGTGGTTACAAAGCATGGATCCACATGGATCCTCAGGATTTTTGCATTGGGCTACTCCAAACTCACTGTCAGATCACATGTCTGTGGCCACAGCATGAACCACAAAAATCATATATCCACTATTTCGTTTAGAATATTTTTTTTCTTGTTTTCCTCCTCTAAAAACTCTGGTGCGTGTTATAGAGCGAAAAATACGGTAATTTTATTAGAGGTTTTTTAACATATTAAGCAATAAAATCCAAACTCTTCTACAGAAAGATAATAAAAGGCAAAGTATCAAAAGAAATAATATAGAAAAAATATAATACACAATATTCATGATCCTCATAAAACACAATTATATATATAAATCTATAGCCCTTTATCACCATTTTATCTCAATCTCCCATCTGCATACTGAGAGCTGAATCTCCCCATTCTCCCACCTGGGAGGTCTCCCCCCATTCCTCAGCCTCCCACCCTAAGAAAAACCACTCTGATCTGTCTGCCACACAGATGATGAGTGCTGTAAACTCACAGCACCCAAAAACATGTGGTTGGGGTTTGCAGGCCTGGAAAAAAAGTTTCCCCCCCAGGGGAAATCGCATTGCGAATTGCGCAAGTTCAGGGCACCCAAAATGGCTTTCATTTGGATATTCAGCAGCCGGTTTCAAGTTTAAAACACACAGTAGGAATCAGCTAGGAGCAGAGGAAGCTGCCTTATGAGAAGTTTGATTGGTCCATCTAGTTCACCACTGACTACACTGACTAGGAATATCCTGGACATTACTGGAATTTCAAAGGCGGAAGCAACGTTCAGGGCGGAGATTTGTCCTGGATCTTCGGCATGTACAGTGGTACCTTGGTTCTCAAACGCCTTGGTACTCAAACAACTTGGAACCCAAACGCTGAAAAACCAGAAGTGTTCCAGTTCGCAAACTGTTTTTGGAAGCCAAACGTGTTATGTTTTGAATGTTATGCTTCCGATCTGAGTGTTACGCTTCCGACTGAGTGCCACATTTCCATTTTGAGTGTTACGCTGAGGTCTGTCTGTTTTTGCTATTTATTTTGCATTTTTGTTTTTGTGTCTCTTTTGCTTTTGTTTTTGTGAGTGTGGAATCCAGTTCAGCTACTGATGGATTGATTGTGTGACTGCAGTACATTGTTTATTGCTTTCATTTTAGGGATCAATGGTCTCGTTAGATAGCAAAATTCATGTTAAATTGTTACTTTAGGGGTTGTTTTTAAAAGTCTGGAACGGATTAATCCATTTTGCATTACTCTCTATGGGAAAGTGCACCTTGGTTTTGGAACGGACTTCCAGAACGGATTAAGTTTGAGAACCAAGGTACCACTGTAATCCGAGAAATCATGGGGTGTTTTGTTTTTTGCTTTTGCATTTTCGGATTTTTACTTCTTGAAATATGGCAACCCTATCACTGATAATACTTGCCAGTATTTCAGACATAGGAACATTCCCAGCCCTACCTAGAGATGCAGGATTGAACCTGTGTCCATCTGCATGCAAAGCTACCACTGAGCCACAGCCCTTCTCAAAAATTCAGAGGCATATTCATTGCGTTAGAAAAGCAAGGCATGCTTTGATTTGCAGAACAATTTTAAAAATTAAATGGCCACCGGGGGGGCCTGGCAATTTTCAAATGGTCCAAGATGGCAGGAAGAGGTTGAGAACTTCTGAAGTAGACAATGCAACGTTGAATATAAATTTAACTCAGAGTGAAACCTGGAAGGTTTTGTACTTCTCTTATGCAGTCTTCAATAAGCCCATATGATATACTATGATGATCTTCTGCTGCCACCATCAGGTCACTTGGAAGGCAGCGGAATAAAACCGTTTCATCCTTTTGAGAATTAGGTCTGGAAATGAATATACAAAAGGCACCTCAACTGACAGCAACCTCCTTTTACATATTGGCAATGATGTGCCAAAGATTATTTGATTGATTTGATCCACAAGTAAAATCCCACTGTGTTCAGTAGGGACTGATCTCAAGTAAGTATGGCTAGGGTTGCAGCTTCACTCTTAAGCGTTTTCACAAAGAAATAGCTAAAACTGATATAAACTAGGCAGATTTAAATATCTGCACATGAAACACCTTCCCATTTTTATCTTTGATGGCAGAACCATAGAATCATAGAGATGGAAGGGACAATGAGGGTCATCTACTCCAGCATCCTGTCGTACAGGAAACTTTTGCCCAGTGTTGGGCTTGAACCCACGAACCTGATGAGCCCCATGTTGTACTGACTGAAGCAGTGATTCTTTCCAAGTGGACCCATTAGGTTTAGATTATATGTGCAGTGACTTGACCATGTACTTTTAATGTTGTGGCACCAGTTCTCTGGAATTCTCATCCATTGGAAGAAGTTTGTTGAAAACATTTTTTTTCCTCTGCAGTTTTTAATTCTTGTTTTTTATTTTTTAATACTGTTTTTATCATCTGTTTTAAGTTTATGTTCTGTTTCTGTAGTCTATTGTTTATGCTAGTTTATTGTTCTTTTTTGTAACATAAAGACAAAAATGAATAAAAGCTAACGTGGTTGCACTGATATACATCTTTGTTTAAATAACAGCATATGACATACAACAACTACATAAAAATAAAAATAGAACAACAAACGCTCAGATAATTTTTTCCAGATATATTAAAGTTGTGCCGAGCTGGTTTATTGTTCTCAAGATGCATTTTTACTTCGTTGTCAGGAAGAGTTGGTTTTTACTGGAGATTATTGTCCACTTTGTGGAGAAAATTCCTCCAACAACAGGCTATACATTTCAAAATAAATTAAGAAGTGTGCATGTGTGGAGTAATATGTCCTTTAATTTATAGTATTCATTCTGTTTGCATTCATCACTGGGTTATAGGATATAATTGAATAAAACCAAGAGGTTAGATAAACATGCACAGCATTATTGTTGGAAATTGGTCAGATGTTATATGAAATAGTATGAAATTAGACTACAAAAGCTGTAGCAAGTGTTCTGGGCAGTTTCATGTTTCAGCACAAACACTGCCCATGATTTGGTGAAAAGCATTGTGCTTGGTAGATATGTCTGCTCATTGTATCAAAGTGATAGCACAGAACATCCTGGGATGGAAAATATTATTAGAGGATATTCTTCATCTTGCTGATGCGACGTACCTGAGGCCTCAGAAATTATGGCAGGTCCATCCTATCCATCACTGTCTACTAACGTCAGTGACTTGCCAAAGTCCTCCCCACCACTGCTTCTTACTGGGAATTGAACCTAGAACCTTCTGCATGCAAAGCAGAGGCTTTTCCACTGAGCTATGGTCTTTTCCTTTAAACATTTCTTTAACATACAAGAAAGTCAGGGAAGAAGGTGGGATTTCAGCCGGCAGCCCCAAGCTGAGGGGAAATGATCATGACTAATAACTACACCCCAGGAGTAAGACCAATGAATGCAAATGGTAGATCATTTGATACTAACTTACTAAGTGCTTTAGAAAAGCACACTTTAATAATAATAACAACATTTCTCCCTGCCCCCCGCCAAATCTTCGCACAGCTGGTGTTATGTCATTTGTCAATAACTGCATCAAAGGGACTATCCAAAAGAGGCTCACGACATGTATAGAACATCCCTATGGTGATTCCATTAGTAATAAGTAATAAGAGGAGAAGTATTTGCCCAAGTACAAAAGTGTGTGCTCAACCCTTGGAATACGCAATGGTAGCACAGCCTTGTGAAGACATGGAAACTGTGAGCAACAAATGAAGGCTTACTGCTACGGAAATAATAGCCATGATAATAAGAAGGTCTCTTCTACGTATGACATAAAGAAAATCCTTGGGCTGGGTTAGCTCCAAGAAAGATACTACAAAATAATTTTATTTATGACACCAAATCAGAAAAAGTAATAGTAAACAAGATGTCTTCCCCAACCATAATTTATTCTTAAATCTTTCCCCAATATAAACCTTATTACATGCTCTTTATAATTCCCCAACAATCCCATTAGTTTGCTTTGCTTGTAAAAGATAACGCACAAACGTCCATTGTGACTAAGGGAGAAACTAACGTCCCTGTTTAGATGGCATCATTTAGTTGGTCATATTTTGGAAAACGAATGTAATGTTTTCTTTTACTCTTCTAAGAAAGGGATCGGGAAGATTTTCGTGATTCCCAGAATAGTGTTTCCATTGCATCAACTGTGACATAGAGAGAGGCTTTTTTGAGTCAGGTTTCACATTGCTTTGGCCAAGCTGGCAATCTTGTAGAGAAAGGTTTTCCGAGGGACCTGAAAGAAATGGCATTTTTAGAGACGCAGGGAAGAACATCGAATGCCAAATCTGTTATTTTTGACAGAGAACAGTGTGAAAATTATGAAACGGATACAAGATCATGGGAACGAGTCCTTAATTTGTCCCCGTTTAAGGTGTTTAAGCGTGTGTAGGTGTGTGTGTGTGAGTGTGTGACTGAAAGAGCAAAGGCCTATCTAGTCCAGCATCCTCTTTCCCAAAGGGGTCAGCCAGATTCTATGTACCTGGAAGCGCACAAGCAGTTCAAGAAAGCACTATGTGTCCTCTGCTGTTTCTCCTCAGCAAGTGGTAATTGAGAGGCATGTTGTCTCTGATCCTGGAGATAATATGTACACAGCCATCCTGACTAATAGCCAGTGATAACATCATTCTCCATGAACTTGTGTAATCCCCTTTTAAAAGATATCTAAGATAGTGGATTTCGTAGGTTAACTCTGCACTGTGAGAAGAAGTCCTCCCTTTCATCTGTCCCCAATCTACCACCTGTGATTATGATTAAACATGGGTCAAATTATTGCACAAAAGGCATAGTTTGGAACACAAACTGGGAAACCTGCGCACCACAATCTGCTGTTAGCCTGGATAGCTCAGTTGGTTAGAGCATGGTGCTGGTAACACCAAGGTTGCAGGTTTGATCCCTGTATGGGAGAGCTGCAAAGTAGGGGGTTGGGCTAGAATTCAGGTTTCCTCAACCTCGGCCCTCCAGATGTTTTGAGACTACAAGTCCCATCATCCCTGACCACTGGTCCCACTAGCTAGGGATCATGGGAGTTGTAGGCCAAAAACATCTGGAGGGCCGAGGTTGAGGAAAGCCTGGGCTAGATGATCCTCAGAGTCCCTTCAAATCCCACAATTCTATT